TTGAAATTTAGAACGACACTCTTCAAATTAGCCACTAGGGGGAAGGGCAGCCAATCTTCTTTTTTTCTAAATCGTTTAACCACGTGAATTAATATATAGAAAACTACACTGCAGTGCACACTGTCCCTCAGCAGGCGTGGAGGCGTGGAAGGACGCGAATGACCCCGGGAATGGCGGGCGAGGAGGGAAGAGAAGCTGGTGCGAGGCGCCTGCGTTTTCTTGGGGACCGGGAGGGAAGAGGAGGGGGTGTGAGGTGCCTGCCTTCTCGGGGCTCGGGAAGGAAGAGAGCAGGTTTGAGGCGCCTGCCTTCCTTGGGGCCTGGGAGGAAAGGAGAGGGTGCGAGGTGCCCGCCATTCTCAGGGCCTGGGAGGGAAGGGGAGCGGGTGCGAGGTTCCTGTCCTTTGTGAGGCTGCGGAGCCTGCTGTGGGTCCGCAAAGCCTGGTCTCCTTTTCCACCCACTCTCCGACCTGCAGGCCCACAGCGCTCAGGGTAAAAGGGTCCCCAGCCCCGGAATCAACTCCCTGGGACTCGGAACGCAACCCACGCAAACTCGGACCCCGTCTCTCGCTGGCGGGGAGTGGCCTTCGCATGCAGACGTGGAGAAGTCGCCTCCACCCACAGCTCCTCCCGTGGACCCAGGCCGCCTCCCCCACACCCCTCCCGGAGCCCCCAGACCCTCCGCAGCGCTCCTAGTCCCTCCCCCACTGCCCGCACTCACGAAGAGCCTCAACTTCTCCTCGGGGGGTGACTTCCTCAGCCAGCCGCTGTGCAGCACGTGGCCACTCGTCATGCTCCGCCTGCGGGGCCGCTTCCGGGCCACGAAGACGAAGGCGCAAATGTTGGGTCCGGTGGTCACAGCTCCCGGGAGGGGGAGGGGGACGGCAGGGAAATGGGGTCCGCGGCTCACAGTGAAGGTGCGGTGACAGGGCGAGAGGGTGCTGCTGGAGGTGGGGTGTGGGGGGCGGCTTGCGGTTCCCTGGGACTGCGGGGTCGAAAGCGCAGTTTTGGGGGAGGTCCGGGTCAGAGGTGAAGCTCGTGGGGAGGGCGGGACCCGCGCGCAGGCGCTCACAGGCGGGGGCGGGGTTCAGGTTCCGGCTGGGCTTTGAGTTCTGGTTAAGGCTTGCGCCTGTGGTTCCAGTTCCAATTTGAGGGGGAGTTTGGGAGTAAAGTTTAGACAAGGCCTCTGGTTTAGGGTTTGGATTGGGGATTGGGGTGGGGACTTGCTCCCTGCGTCAGCCTGGGTGCATCTCATCGGGACCACCGGGGTGGGGGACATGGGCTGGGCGGCTCCTTGGGAGAGGGGGGACAGGGAGCACAGCTGGTGGGGAGGACAAGAACGAGGCGCGCAGCAGAGCGTCAGATGCTGAGTCCCAGGCGCCAGGTGAGGAAAGACAACGGAAGAGTCAGGTTCCTGCTGGGGTTTGAGTTCCAGTTCGGGATTCGGCCTGTGGTTTACCTTCTGACTTGAGGTGGGGTTTGGGGTCAAGGTTCAGGCTAGGACTTGAGTTCTGGGTTGCAGTTTGGGGCTGGGGTTAGGTTTTAGAGTGAGGGTTTGGGCTGTTTGTGTTGTGTATGTTTGTGAAAGTATTGGGATGTCGCTGTGTGCACATGTGTGTACTTATGTCACGTGCGTGCATGTGTTAGCGTGTGCATGCATCAGTGTGTGCATGTGTGAGTGTTCGTGAAGTGTGGCACCGAGAGCCAACCCCTCTCCTCGCATTTATGCCCCACTGTCTTATCCTGGTTGGGGTGCGCTTTACAAGTTCCTTCCCTGGGCCAGTTGGAGGTTCGCATGTTGCCTGGGGCGAGAAGGGAAGGAGAGAAGACGTGGAAGAGGAGGGCGGCTTGGCCTCAACCAGACCCTGCGTCATGGGGACCAAGAAGCCGGAGGTCCTTGTCTCCTGCCTCTGGAGGAGCTTGGTTTGCTTCTTTGTTCACACATTGTGTGAAAGCACAGTTGAGGGCATCTGATGTGCACAGGATCTGTTCTTGCCCCTGCAGATGTCTTAGAGAACAGGACAGACAAGGGGCGTCTTCAGTAAGCCATTGCCAATGTGCACTGCGTGTCAGCTTACAAGAGGGGCACAGGGGCCTCATCAGGTAGCAGGGAGGATGCAAGGAAGAGTGTGTGGGAATGGGGGTGCTGGGTGGGGCCAGGTGAGTGGGTGCCTGGCTTCTCCTTAGAGCAAAGGAAAGTGCTGAAGAGCGTGAAACTGTGACATGTTTTGCTTTATGTTTTGAGAATGGATTGCGGAAACAAGCAGACATGGGGGACCTGATGAGGGCCAGTGGGATGTCCACAGAGATAAGATTTGGTTTGAGCTGGTAAGAAAAGTGGAGATGAAGCCAAGTGGAGGAAATTGCAGGGTCTTGAGACTGAGAAGACATGTGGGTGGATGAGATATGAGTAGTGACCCTGAGGTGGGGAATGGGGGGACAACCCGGAGGGGAGGTTGGTGAGGTGTATTTGGACCTATTGGGTTGGAACCCTAGGCAACATCCTCATGGGAGGACCAGTGGGTCCTGGTCAGGCAGACATGGTGCTCAGGGAGACATTGGATGAGGTAAGAGCCATAGACCCTCTGCTGATGGCAAGGATGGGGTTCCTGGAGGTGCTGGCTCCCTCTACAGGCTGCAGTCATGGCAAGTCAATTCTAAACTCACCATCACAGCTCACACTGTATAGGACGTATGCCTTAGTATAAATCAGTTAGCCAGGGAGGCCACAGGGTACCCAGTTGGATCCTGCCCTGAGAGTAGGTTTGGATGGGGTGAGAGAGGAGAGAGGCAGTGGCAGGAGTGAGGCAGATGAGCTCTTCCTGGTTGGAAGGGAGCTCAGCCCCTACAGTGACCTCATGCCAACTGGGGCCTCAGCAGGAGCCCCTACCTGGGTCCCCATGGACCTCTGACTGTCTTCTGGCCTCAGGGTGGAAAGAACCCTCTTCCAGAATATGTCTTCTCCAGCAACATTCTTCCAGCCCCCTACAGTGCGCACAACGGGAACTTCAGGAGCATGCAGAGACTGCCGCAGCACGTGGAGGGCAGGTGTTGCCCCAAGGTCTAGCCTGCCCAGGATGTTGGCTTTGATGATGGTTGGGGGACTTATCAGTATCTTGAGCCTTTTTTTTATATATATACAGTGAGTTTAAATTTATCCTCTGTGTCTCAAGTGGACAAAAAAAAAAAAAACCACTTTACTTTCCATTGATGATTTATTTTTCTTGTGTGTTCCGTTGCATGGCTGATGGGAAAATGTAAGTTTCTCATAACTTATCTCTATTTCCTCTGGTTTGCAGCTGTCTGCGCCCACCGTACGGCTCACCTCCTCCTTCTGTGAGGGTCTGTCCTGTGGCCATGGGGAAAGGTCCCTGGCACTGATGCTGCCCTTGGGACCCTCACTGACCCTGGGCTCCTGGTCTGCCTACCCCTTCGGTTCCCCTGGGGTCACACATTGGTACCAGAGCCAGGAATGGGCTCTGCATTTCCTCCTCTTTGAGCCCTGTCTGGCTCCTACAGCCCATGTATTGGTGAACTACTTGGGGGTCACATAGACCCTCCCCTCCCTGCTGAGCTGGCAGTTCATGCCCCATGGGTGGGAGGAGGGGCAGAGGGAGAGCTCTGGGAGGTGGGCTCCAGTGTCCTCCCTCAGGCTTCTCACTGTGGGCAAAGGGCACAAGGCATAAGGTCCCTGGGGTCCGGACCAAGCTGACCTGGGTCTTCAGCAATCAGGAAATAACTTTTATCTTAGAAATGCAAGTGTTTCTAATTATCAGGCCCAGAAGGAGGCATTAAAATGAGACCACAGTCATGTCCTACTCCCTCACATTGAGCTGTGTATTCTTGATACTGCTGTTGCCAGAAGTAGCTCTGAATTTACCTCGTAATGCCACACCAGATGCCACACCCCATACCCTATAGCTTAACAGTGTCACACCGGATGCCATACATCGCACCCTGTAGCTTAACAGTGTGCAGCCCATCACTAAGGAGTGTTATTGCTATGAACCAACTAAAATTCCTGAGGAATTGTATCTGCCCCTTCCCTGTCCCACTTGTTTTGCCTTTAAAAATCGGCTCATGGCTCAAGCTTGTAATCCCAGCACTTTGGGAGGCCGAGACAGGCGGATCGTGAGGTCAGGAGATCGAGACCATCCTGGCTAACACGGTGAAACCCCATCTCTACTAAAAAATACAAAAAACTAGCCAGGCGAGGTGGTGGGCGCCTGTAGTCCCAGCTACTCGGGAGGCTGAGGCAGGAGAACAGCGTAAACCCGGGAGGCGGAGCTTGCAGTGAGCTGAGATCTGGCCACTGCACTCCAGCCTGGGTGACAGAGCAAGACTCCGTCTCAAAAAAAAAAAAAAAATCAGCTCATAACTGCTGCTAATTGGAGTGTATATTCAGGATAACTTGAGTCTATGCTCTGGAGTTGCAATCCTGAAGTTTGTCTCAAATAAACTCTCCACTAAGATTAACTTTGTCTCAACTTCTTCCTTGTAGGGTGACACCAGGGTCTCCTTTCCTGGTCCTGTGGCTTCCCTGGACCCTGTGTGGCAGAGACATCCCCTCCACACAGTATTGCCAGCATATTATGCAAAAAAAACCATTTTCCCTTTCAACAGGGAACCTAGTTCTTAGGATTGTTGTTCAAAAATATAATTTAAAGCTTAAAACTGAGCACCTGGGTCTTGGCAGAGTTCCCGTCTTTCCTCGGAGTGGCAGATGTGACTGTCAAGAGCCTGGGCAGCTAAAGACAAGGCTGAGTGGGGCAGAGGTTGTGATTGTACCCTGACCTGTGTCATCCACTTGCAGGCACCAGCCCTTCTCTGTAGAACCAGGGCATCTGCCAGGGATTATTCAGGCCCATGGGTGGGGGTCTGGCAGGGAGCAATGCAGTGATGGAAGGTGTAGTGTGTGTGTGGTATGTTGGGTGGATACTTCTGGTCCCACCAAAGGAAGAGCTTCCTTTTGGAGGCAGAGGTCTCCTATGTCTCCACAGAGGGATTCAGGTCAGCTGGCCTTTCCCAAGTACCTTGAAAGTCACCAGTCTTAGTGTCACCTGTCTGTCATGCTGTGTGTGTGTGTGTGTGTGTGAGAGAGAGAGAGAGAGAGAGAGACAGAGAAAATTGCTCAGGTGGGCGTACCCAGTCTCCGTAGCTGCTGAAAGGCCCTGGGACACACGCTGCATGCTGCCAGGCTTTTTTTCTGTGCTCAGCACATGTCACCATCTGTACCCTGGTGCAGGCTGCTGTGAGCACCAGGCTCTGTGCTAGGGGAGCAGTGAGGGGACTGAAGAGACTCAGGGTCCCATGTTGAGGCTGAGCTGGCACATAGTAAGGAAGACAGAATGTTTCTGGCACAGGTGCTGCTTGATGTGGACTTCAGGAGGGCTTCTTGGAGGAGGAGGGAGGGCCTGCTGAGGAGGAGGTTACCACTCCCAGGGTGAGTTCTGATCATGCTGCCTGAGCCCTTCCCTCATCCCATACTCTGCTCCAGGCCTGGATGGAGGCCCACGTGGCCAGTGTGCAGCCTAGCCAGGACTGTGCCAGCACCTCACAAGGAGCCTTGGAATTCAGTGTGCGAGGGGCCACTGCGGTGCTCACCTGTGGCTCAGCATGTCCCTGGAAATCTGTGACCTGGAGGAGAGCAGGAGGGCATGGAAACACCTCCTAGGAGCCCCAAGTTTGGAGGATATGCTGCCAGCGGAGTGTGAGGAGTGAGAGGCACCGCTGCCTGCCTACCTGCCACTGGAGGACCAGGCCCCTACATCCCCCACAAGCCTGCTCACTGAGACTGAGTGGGGTAGTAGTGGCTACTATGCCTTCGGCTGCTATGGGGGATGCAACCCTTCATCCCTCTCAGGAAGCACATGGAGCCCTGAACCCATCCCAGCCCTGCCCCGTGGCCTTTCACATGACCAGTGAGGCTTGGAGACCAAGTGAGGAGGCATCTGGGTGGTGAATGGTCCCAGCCAGAGGCATCGGCTGCACAGGGACATCCAGGGCCCACAACTCCCTCCTGTCTTCACCAGGGCTCAGTCCTGAAAGTTCTGGGGCCCAGATACAGCCACCTGCATGATGTCCGTCTTGTGGAAAATGGACAAAAGTCTCTGGAGCTGGCCCTTGGCTGGGAGAGGACCTCCCAAGAAGGGGCCTCTAGCAGTGGTTAGAAGTCCTGCCTGGATGGAGGCTGGAAGCTCCTCCTTGCCTGATCTGCTTAGCACCTGTGGGGAGGGGCCTCTACCCTCAGCATCCTGCCCACAGCACCACATTTTCCCATCCCCTTTCTGGCTTTATCTATGGCCACTCTGATAAAAGAGGTGTAGTCTCCCAGTCTGTTCTGCTCTTACCCCTTAAAGGGCCAGCATGGGGCCAGTGGACACAGGTGAGACACCATAACCTGGTGGTGGTGATCTCTCCATGCCTTCCATGCCTTCCTGAGGCACCTTTCCTAGATATTAAAAGGTACATAATGGCTTTTCCAAAGTGCTGATGCCTGGGAGGAGATATCAAGGGAGGGGTGGAGTTTGACCGGCCCTGGTGGGCTTTCTGGGTTCCAAGAACAGCGGGGTGCAGACTCAGACCAGCTCCCAGATAGTAGGGTGGAACATCAGTGACAGCTCTGGGGACAGCAGAGTGGAGGAGGCTCAAGGACGACTTCAGACAGTGGGGTGGAGGCTCACATGATCCAGCACTTCCCTTCTGGGTGTCTACACAAAGGAATTCAAAGAAGGGTCAAAGAAGTATTTGTACATCCATGGTGATAGCATAATTATTCACTAATAGCTTAAATGTAGAGGCAACTCTAATGTCAGTGACAGATGAATGGATAAACAATATGTGGTCTATACATATAATGGAATATTCTTCATTT